TTTTATGTATAACTATTCTTTTCATTATCATTGCAATGCAACTGGGAGAATAAAGATCGATGAACTTGTATTATTCGTTATTAGTCTATTTAAATATGTTTCATTGAACCAAACCCATATACCGGTTAATAACATTGCGCACTATACGTCGATATTCACAGTATATTGATGAGTATCGGTGCATACTGATGAATACCCGCGAATCGGTGACAGTTAACAGTTGAATAATCGTTTACGCTCCATCCCCAAATAAAGTTGTCACCCTATTATTACTTAATGTGATAAAATGGGTCCGAGAGTATTTGTTGATGTGTAGCAAGTATACTTTTCTAAGATTTTATTGATCAACCTTAATATAGTCTGACAAGAATTAAAATGGATTTCTTATGTTTTTACGTGCAAGATTCATTTGAGTTCAACAGTAGTAAAGTGATTCTGCCAAAAATTCACGTTCAGTAGACATTTTCTTGATTATATGTTCTAATTTCTGGCATAACTTGTTCTAGTATCTCATTAAACGAAAGTCGATGCAACAAGAGAACATTGAAGAAACGATGACAAGCATTGATAATCACAATTCGAAACTCCAAGAAGACATTGGCAAATGCGAAATGTCGACAAGAATTGATTTGAACAATCGAGAATTGGCCGATGAAGATATGAATATTGTTGTTGAAAATGCAATCATCAATAAGCGTTGTCCTTCTCTATGGTTATATGATAACATGCTCACATCACAAGGTGCCCGAATTCTAGCAGGTAGCATAGCGAATAATAATACGTTGCAAGAATTATTTCTTGATGGTAATCAAATATTGGATATCGGAGTGCATTATTTATCACTCATTCTGAATAGTTCGACTCTAACATCACTGAGTCTCTCGGAAAACAGTATTACAGATCAAGGTGCCAAGTATCTTGCTGAAACGCTCAAGACCAATCGAACATTACGACGTCTTTGGCTGTATCACAATCAAATAGATGATCATGGAATGCAAATGTTCGCTGATACACTGACACGACATAATACCTCACTCGAATGGTTAGATCTTCGTTCAAACAAGTTGGTAACTGATGCAAGTTTTGATCCTTTAATTTCAATGCTTGAATCGAATCATTCGTTGAAGAAATTCTGGATGGAGTATTGTAATCTTTCCTATGAATATAAAGCAAAACTTCGGCAAGCGGCAAAATCAAAGATGAACTTTGACTTAGGTGCTTAGTCAGCAGCTTCTTCTGAATCAAAGTATCACTCGTCTTGCTCCAAACCAATTTGCCTAAATGATAATTTACTGTAGTGATCTTGACACTTCTGAATAAAAAAAGCTTGCAAAATAATCTCTGTAGAATTAAAGTATGAAATACGACGGGTACGGGTGTGGATATAAGTGTGGGTTTCCTCTTAATCATCGTCGGCACCCACACTCCACGCCCCACCCACACCCACACCCTCCGACCGTTTTCAACGGTACTTCCTTCACCCTGAGTTAGATCGAATCTAACAATTTGTTTTGTGTTATTACAGTAAGAATCATGAAATTTATTGTTATCATTGATTATAATTTAAGTTCAGTGCAAGAGTAGTCACTAAGAATTTCTACAGTCATTGAATAGCAGGCGGCTACGAATATCTCGTGTTGCGCCATCGCTAATTTTACTCACATGAATATGAAGGTAAACACTGTAGAATGACTTGATGTGTCCATGACACCAATCTTTTTACTGAAGTCGCCGCATGTTTGCTGATCGAAATCTCCAGCATGTATGCAACGTCCATGGAACTGAAAATTTCACTGAGAATATATAATTCTCTGCAAGACCTATCCATCCTGTGAATTCCAGAGCTCTTTCAGTTCTCGATCACAAGATATGAAGCCTCCAACTTGTTCGAGATCGAGATTTTCTCTCGAGCACCGAAGTTCGTAGAATATAAAAGGCTCAATCAATTAAGCGAAAAACGTTATTTTGGATATAACTCATAGTTGTGTGTATTCGAAAAATATTCCAGCTCCATCGGTCCAGCCAATCTTGAGATATCCAGCTGTAGAGTGAAACTCGCTCTATCAAATGAGATATAACGTGAAAAGATTTTGATAACTTACTATGAAGAAAATGACCAATACTGACTTACCTAATTTCACATGAAAAACATTTCTTTTTCGAAAACCCCTTGTGGGTGTCGGTTCAGTGTTTAATTCATCAATTTTTAGAAACAAGCTAGAACCAGCTAAAAATTGGGATTTCGAGGTTTTTGGCAATGCTCTTTCATTCGCGATCATAAAGTATAGAGGTCAAAATTTTCGAGAGTATGACTCTGTTGATTAATGTTCAATATTTTCATAAACTATCTCTTAACCATTCGACGGCTTTAAAAACAATCACTTAAAAAGAAGCTTAACATGTTTTACGAAGATTTATTTACAAAATTTATTTATATGTAATGAGATATTCTGGTAAGACATGTCGATTAGAATAAACCACATAAGTGTTTGATGCACCTGTTGTTGAATCGTAATTTGACGGACATATTCTCATTGTTGAGTTACCTTCACAACTTCGACCAACCAATACACGACACATGAGTATTCTTTTTTCACCTGTAGAAGGATTTGGTACTGCATATCGATCACTAACTTGTCGACTTGTTGAAAAATAAAATCCATGACCAAAATAAGTACCTGAAATAAAAATCAATTGAAGTCAAACTCGAATTTGTTCTTCACTTGATTTTACCATTTCTTCCGATACGACTATGGTCAAATGCTTGTTGAAGAATTTGTTCAGCTGCTGCATATGGACAACCATGAAATAATAGTTTTTCCGTCTCATCATATCCAAGTCGAGCATCAACTATCTGTTTCTGATTTAGATATTGCATTAACCATATTGCATTTTCAATTCGATCAATACGAACAATTGATGATGCTTTCCCATCGAAATCAGCAGCAACTCTTCGAAATTCATCTGATTCTTCTGGCACTTGTATCAAAGTGCTTGCTGGTATCGACCAATTTTCTCTTGAAATATTTGTCAAACTTAAACCATCTGTATCTGGCAATCCAAGTCGAGCACCAAAGGCATCCTGAGCTTGAATGAGAAGAGCAAATACTTCACTGTTTGACATTATACCTTGAATAACACTTTCAATTTTTATTTGATCTTGATCAAATCCTAGACATATAAGCAATGGATAAACTTCAATTTAATACATTTTAAAATGG